ATGAGTGGTATGTGTTTCCAAGTTACAAACTTTCCCTTTTGAGGAAATATAAACCTGAATCTGTTACCTTTCTCAACACTTGAGATGATATCCTCTCAAACATGCTTCTCTTCAGGAGTCTATCTTTCTGAAATGAGAGAAATAGACTCATTCTTAACTCCTCCCTCTTCCTCATCCCTCACCTCCAACCCCGCACCAAGTCCCATCAATCCTAAGTATCTCTTGAATCCCACACTCTTTCTTACCTTCATCACCACCATTCTTATATAAGCCATCAGCATCTCTCATCCAAATAGACTCCTGTAACCACCCTATCCCATCTCCCTGGATGGCAGAGGAAATGCTATGTGTTCACAAATCCATTTCATTCTCTTCCTGGGCACCCAGAATGAGCACATCCCCAAAATGTCTTGTAATTAAGTTGGGAACCAACCAATGAATGCATAAATAAGTGGAACAACAAACCCATCTCTCTCTCTCTCTCTCTCTCTCTCTCTCTCTCTCTCTCCAGTCAATCAATACATTTACAAAAAAAGAAATTATATGGTAGAAGCAGGAGAAAAAAAGACAATTGGATCTATACGTCTGGAGTTCAGTAGAGAGGCCTAGTCTATTGATATACAGGTAGTGTCATCATGGATCATAACTCATCATGCTTCTCTTATCTTAAAAATAAGAGCAACAATAGCCGAAACCGGTTTGGCTCAATGGATAGAGAGTCGGCTTGGGGACTGAAGGGTCCCGTGTTCGATTCCGGTCAAGAGCATGTACCTTGGTTGCGGGCATGTACCTTGGTTGCGGGTAGGGGGTGTGCAAGAGGCAGCTGAGCGATGACTCTCTCTCATCGATGTTTCTAACTCTCTATCTCTCTCCCTTCCTCTCTGTATAAAATCAATAAAATATATATTTTAAAAAAATAAGAGCAACAACAAACAAACTCACTCTAATTCTGCTCCTTTACCCTATTTGTCTTCCCCCAGATCTACTCTCCCAAATCCCTCACACAAAAATCAGGTCTCCATCCCCCTGAACCAGCTGTCAGAAGGCCAACCAGAAGGAAGGTGAGGCTGGGGATGGGAAAAGATTAAGTGGCAAACTTACATGCATAAATACATAGCCCATGGACACAAACAATAGTGTGGTAAAGGCCTGGGAGGGGCAGGTGCAGGGTGGAAGGGGTCAATGTGTGTGTAGGGGAGGGACATCTGTAATACTTTCAACAATAAAGATTAATTTAAAAAAGAAAAAAAGGTTAAACAGGCTTCCCTTGCTATCAAGTGCAAAAACACTTTTCCATCACTGCATCACCGGAACTTTCAGGAGCATGTAACTGTACTGACTACTGTCACCTCAAAACCCACTTCTCCTACCTAATTGCACAACACTAGCTAGATTTAAACTCCACCCTTCCTCTATGCTACCCTCATAAATTGCACAAGAAAATAAAATTGCCAGCTGGGCACTCCATCACTTACTACTGATCACTCAAGTGTCTTCCCTTCTATAAAAGGCCAATTCCTTCAAGTTTGCTCTAGGCCCATTCCCTCTCTCTGACCAGGGACCTTGGCCCATCAATTGAATATTCTCTTTCTGTGTTTCAACATTTCCCTATACACAGGACTTTTCCCACTATTTATTTTCAAAAGCTTTACTGAAATATAATTCACATTCCATAAAATTCAACCATTTGAAGTATTCACTTTTTACTATATTCACAGAGTTGTATGACCATCACCTAATTTTATAACTTTCATTTTCCCAAAAAGAAACCTCATCATACCCATTAACAGTCGCTCTCCATTTCCCCCCACCAACCGCCAGTCTAGGCAGACACTAATCTATTGATACTTATTGTCTCTATAGATTTGCCTATTCTGGACATTTCATATAAATGAAATTATACCATATGAATACTTTTTAAACTGGTTTCTTTCCCTTAGCATGTTTTCAAGGTTCATCTGTGTGGTAGGATGTATCAACTCTTCATTCCTTTTCACAGCTCAATAATATTGCATTGAATGGATAGATAATACTTTATCTATTTGTCACTTGATGGACTTTTGGGTTATTTCTTTTTAATTTTTATGAATAATGCTGCTAGCAACATTCATGTACAAGATTTGTTTGAATATGTCTTTTCAATTATTTAGTTATATATTAAGAGTGGAATCGTTGGGTCATAGTTTGTTCATATTCTACAATATGTTTAACTTGAGGGACTGTACTATTTTCCCCAGAGACTGCATTATTTTATATTCCCACCAGAATTGTACAAGGATTCTAGTTCCTCAACATCCCTACCACTACTAGTTGTTTTTGTTTTTTCTTCCCCTTTTTATATTATTACTAGAGGCCCAGTGCACAAAATTTGTGCACTGGAAGGTCCCTCAGCCTGGCTTGCACCCTCTCACAGTCTAGGGCCCCTTGGGGCATGTAGCAGTGAGTCAAGCGGCAGGTGGCTAGGGAGGAGTCCAAATTGAGGCCAAGTGTTGCTCATGCTAATCCTGGCCCGCTGCACCTGCTGTTGCAGAGTCGGGAGAGGTTTCCACTGTGGCAGCTGCTCTCACCAGCTGGGAGCCCAGCTTCTGGCTAAGCAGTACTCCTCCTGCATTGAGCATTTGCCCCCTGGTGGCCAGTGCACATAATAGCAACTGGTTGTTCTGGTCATTCTACTGTAATGGTCACTTAGGCTTTTATTATATAGGTTAGAGGCCCAGTGCACAAATTAGTGCACCAGTAGGGTTCCTCGGCCTAGCCTGCAGTATCGAGCTGAAACTAGCAATCCGACATCCTCCCAGGTATCCTGGATTGAGAGAGTGTGCAGGCCAACCCAAGGGACCCCACTGGTGCACAATTGGGACCAGGAAGGGACACGGGAGATTGGCCAGCCAGGGAGGGACCACAGGAGGGCTTCAGGGCATGCCCGACCCGTCTCGCTTAGTCCCAATTGGCTGGACCCCAGAAGCAAGCTAACGTACCTGTTGGGAATATCTACCCCCTGGTGGTCAGTGCATGTCATAGTGAGTGGTTGAGCAGCCTTAGCATATCATTAGCATATTAGGCTTTGCTTGGTTGACCAGACAACCAGACACTTAGCATATTAGGCTTTTATTATATAGGAAAGCCATGCTAGTGGAAGTGAAGTGGTATCACTTTATGTTTTGATTTGTATTTTCTTGATGGCTAATGATGCAGAGAATTTTTTGATGTGCTTATTGATAAACTTTATTTGGAGAAATGTCTATTTAGATCTTTTGCACATTTTAAACTTTTTTAATTTTTATCTTTGAGTTGTAATAATTCCTTATATATAGTTCTTATGAGATGTGATTTGCAAATATTTTCTCACATTAGGTTTTCTTTTTACTTTCCTGATGTTAATGCTTGAAGCACAAAATATTTTTTAAATTAGGTTTATCTAATGTTTTCTTCTTTTATCTGTTTTCTTCAGTTGCTTTGCGCTTTTGAAATCCTAAGAAACCATTGCCAAATCCAAGTTCACAAAGGTTTTCACCTATGTTTTCTATTAAGAGTTTTATAGTTTTAGCTCTTACATTTAGATCTTTAATCCATTTTTAATTAAATTTTTGTATGTGGTGTGAGGTAGGGGTTGAAATTCATTCCTTTGCATGTGAATACTGTTTGTTTAAAATACTATTCTTTCCCCAATTGAATGATATTGGTACCCTTATTGAAAATTAATCGGCCATATTATTTCTGAACTCTCAATTTTATTCCATTGGTCTGTCTGCTCTGTTTTTATCTTTTAAATATATTGATTCCAGAAAGGAAGAGATAGAAATAACAATGAGAATCATTCATTGGTTGCCTCCTGCCCACCCCACACTGGGGATCAAACCCACAACCTGGACATGTGCCCTGATGGGGAATCAGTTACCTCCTGGTTCATAGTTTTATGCTCAATCAGAGCCATGCTGGCTGGGCATATTCTGTTTTTAAGCTAGTACCACACTGTGTTGGTTATTAGAGCTTTGTAGTAAATTTGAAATTGAGAAGTCTGAGTCCTCCATCATTTGTTGTTCCATTTACTTATGCATTTATTGGTTGATTCTTGCATATACCCTGACTGGGAATCAAACTCTCAACCTTGGCATATTGGACGACACTCTAGCCAACTGAACTGTCTGGCCAGGGCTGAATGCTTTTAGTTTTTCTTGCCTAATTACTCTGGCTAGAACTTCTAGTACAATGATGAATAGAAGTGGCACAAGCAGGCATCCTTGTCTTGGTCCTGAATTTAGGGGGAAAGCTTTATCTTTCATTATTATTAGCTGTGGGTTTTTCTTAGTGCTCTGTATCAGGTTAAGTTCCCATCCAGTCTGTTTTCTGAGTGTTTTTATCATGAAAGGGTACTAGATTTAATCAAATGCTTTTTATATACCCATTGAGGTCGTGTGGGTTTTTCCCCCTTTATGAATATGGTGCCCAGGTTCTTTTTTAAAGTTAAAATCTTAGAAGGATGCTCAAGATAAAAAACACAGTGAGGGTTCGCTTTGTTTGAAGCAGGAAGGGAAGTCTGCAGCTGCCAAATTGGCCCATCAGTAATTCCTTCCCAAGTAGCTCTGGGCCCCACAGGAAACTAAGCCAGGGCCCACGAACAACAAGAGGACTCTAGGGCCCTCTCATCCAAAACTCCTTGTTGAGCTGGCTCTGTCAGCCAAATAAGCCCCAACCCTTGGCCTTAGGAAGCCCTGGTTGGCAGGGCTGGCTGATTACAAGTACACAGCTCCTTTGGCATCCTGCAAATTGCAGTTATCCTGGCATAGAGCTCCAGAGCCAAAGTCCTCCTCTACCCCTCTGTCTGAAGTATTGATCAAGGGGCTTTGGAGTCCTTAACACTTGCCCTTCTTGGTGTTATATTTCCATTAAATATTAGTTTGGATCTGTGGTTACAGCAAAGCTTGTACTAAAACCTTGATTATAATCAACCCAAAATACAGAGATGCAGTATGTCAAACAGATTGCAGACAGCTCACTGATTACTTTTGGGGATGACTGATTAAGAAACTTTATTACAGAAAATGAACGCATCTAATGTCCCCAAATACATTTGTGACAAGAAGAGACACACAGGAGACATAGACAATAGTTGCTACATCACAGCCATATTCTTTCCAAAGGATAAAACACCATTCAAGAACAGGGTGAGGGGATTGCAAGAGAGAAGCGGTTAGAGAAAGCAGGTACTGTCCTTTAGATTAAACACACACACACACACACACACACACACACACACACACACACACGATGGCATTGCAAGAGCACCTACTGTGGGCCCAGATATAAAACAAAGCCAAAGCCTTAGGCGATGAAACCATGCCACTTGTCACACCTCAGAGGAACTAGAGAGCATCACTCCATCAAGACAAGCAATCTTTTGATAGGGTGAACAGTAGTCTTGCTGCAAGCAGAGAGTGAACTAAGTGGCCTTAAGTTCCTTTAGAATGAAATTTCTGCTTAATCAAAGATCACTTATCAGCCTCCCTACTTCTGTTTAGTTACTGTGGAAGCACAAAAAAAAAGCCATCCCCTTCCATAGTTGCCATGTCTATTTACAATCAGATAGAGGCGCCCCACTTAGCAGAAATCTCTTCTTGGTGCCAAGTTGAGCTCTTTCGCATGTGACGAGGTTGCCCACAGCTCTCTAATCTTAGCATGGCACATTGTGTTTGGGGCAGCAGCAGCTTAAGACCACAATGCCAAGTGATGGCTGGAGGAAAGTAACAAGGGCATGGCTGAAGCAGGAGGGGCAATCTGGAACAAGTAACTCCAGGCAAAGCTCAGGACCTAGAGATTTTTACTTAGTGGTCATTTTCTAGAAGAACTGGAAAAACACAGTTAGGACAAACAGTTCTGACATGAGAAGGAATAGCGATAAATATAGATCAGTGATCAGGCTGGAGATCATTACAACTTGTACACACCTAGAACCTGACAGGGTGGGGAGGACACTCTCTGCAGACATGCAATGTTCCAAATAGTCAATTTTAAGAAAAAAAGCTATTCACTCCTAAGTAAGCATGAAAACATGTCATTAAAAAACACCCCAGAGTGCTTCCCAGCCTCAAACATACATATGAGTGTCAATGCTAGGCATTAGCAACGCTCACCCATAACATAGCACCCCTCATTACTGCCAACAGGTAAGATGCATGTACACATCAGCCCGCAAAATACTTCTATTTAGTATCACCATTTTGCCACTGTGGCCATGATCCCTCATCCCAACTTGGACAAAATACACACCATCCGCCATGAAATCATCACTGAAATACAAACCAAGCTTCAAGAAAATTGAACAATCCTTGTTTCCAATGAATGAGCTCATCACCGTGTAGGCCATTCTACTTTCCATCTGATGCATTTAGTGCTTAAAACAACCGATTTCGTCAGGTGCCCCAACACAGCCTGCCAACAGATCCAGCAAACATCCTTTGGATATAAAACTTCTTAAAGTTACAGGGGGGAGGTATTGATTCTGCTCCCCCCCATCACTGGGGACCAAAATGAGAAGTGGCAGTTTAAGACCTCAATTGTTGAGAACAAATTTCCAGAGGGTGGGTGGGGGGGGGAGTGGGCAGGGAATGGAACCTGAATGTTTGATACACCCCCCTCAGAAGATATTTTTGCTGTTTATTAATTAATTTGGCTCCACAATATAAGGGGTGAGGCAAGAGGCAGTTTTTAAACCTCATAGGTAAGTAGTCAGCCTCAATCCTAAACACCCACTTCCCTGTACCTCTAAAGGCTGCTCAACCTTGCCTGTGTCAAGTTATCTTAGCTCCTACATTCAATAGCTCAGACTTCATCTTGATGCCATTCAAACGAAATCATGCAGTAACTTCAGGTAGCTCTCTTCAACTCGTCCTAAGTTACCAGATTTACAGGGAGGCTAGTCATCAAATACAGCGGAGTGGGTTGCTTCACCATTAAGACTGCTACGAGTCAGAAATTTAGAGGGTTAGAATAGAGAACAGCTTAAAAAACGTAATACTGTTTTTATTTAACTTCAAAAACATTTCAGCATTCTAAACATACAAAAATTAACAAAACGTTGCAAATGTGTGTGTAGTACAGAAGGGTTCTTGAAATTTCACTGATGCAGGGACTCTTCACCTTGTTGACAATGAAGAGTTGTAGCTTGTTTTAAAGCGAAGTTTAAAACTACCACACAACTAAAAAACGATCCAAAGACTTCTCATGCCAGCTGACCCCCCTTTTTCCACAGCTAAGAATGGCAGGATGCTATATCACTATATACAAAAACAAGACAACCTGAAGCTAAATGGATGCCCACTGCAGTGTCCACAGGTCCAGCCTCACAGTGCACGCCCTGAGCTACAGCCCCTCCAAAAGGCATCTTCCTCACAGCCTCAACGCCAAGCAAAGAGCATCAAGAGCTTGTCTTGGTTGTTTGTTTTTTACAAACTATAGATATGTACAGTTGAGAACTCAGGATTTCTAGCCAATAACCAAAGAGGTAACACCACCTTACAGATTAAAAAAAAAATGCCAGAAACATCTGTAAATGCCTTGTTACACCAAAACAGCAAAGTGCACAGAGTGAGGAGAACACGAGAGCCTTGTCATTTTTAAAAATGTTTGGAAATATGTACAACTTTGATACAGTTTCTGGGTGCCCTAGACACCCATGGCCACTTCATGTAAACCACTGACAATTGCTAGAGCACTTTGAGAGACTACATATGATCATGATCCAATTGTGTAATTAATCCTACTGAGGGCAACAGACACCTCTCAAATAAGCTGTGTCAATTACGGCGCTCCCCTACACTAAGGTATTCACAAGGAGACAGATAAACAGTTTTTTTATTCATCCTCCTCCTCCTCCTCCTCTTCTTCTTCTTCCTCCTCTTCCTCCTCCTCCTCTTCATCTTCTTCTTCCACCTTTTTCCGGGCAACTTTAGCGGGACCCTTTGCACCATCGAACTTGCCTTTGGACTTATAGTCGGCGACATCCTAGAACAGGGACACATTTTTCCAAATGAGAAGACAAGCTCTCCTGCAGCTATTTGAACACAGGGTGAAAACATGCTGTCCCTGCCTCAGAATAAGCAAGCTGGAATTCAAAACACAGTACAGGGCTGCTACTTGAAGTATTTGTTTCCTGATACATATCTGGTTCTCAGCCATTCAAATGTAAAAGGTAATGGGTGATCAAGTAGCCTTTAAGTCATGTTAGAGTGCTATCAAATCCTATTCCAGTGGCATCCCATGTTATCCCATATTTTAAGCCTGTCTGAAGTTCTCCAAAATAAAAGATCAGAAGCCAGAACATCGGCACACATAGCTGATCTTGAGTGGAGATGGGCCCCCATGGGACCAGCAAAGCACCCTTCCACCCCATAAACCGTCACATCCGGGGCAGCTTTCTCACAGGCCAGAGCGAACGCACTCTGGCCCACCTCACCTTCTCATACTTCTCCTTCAGTTTGGCAGCCTTGTTGTTGTAAGGCTGCTTTTCGCTGTCACTTAGGTTATTCCACATCTCGCCCAGCTTCTTTGCCACATCGCCAATAGAAATCCCAGGGTTTGTGGATTTAATCTTGGGGCGGAATTCGGAGCAGAAAAGGAAAAATCCAGACCTTGGGGGAGGAAATGATACAAGGTAGATGAGAATCTTCCAAAAGTGAGCTCCCATCAAAATCCCATGTTCCTGAACCCACACACTTCCTATCACTCCTCCCTAGAGTGAAGAAATGTGGGATACCATATACAGCGTCTCAAAGTTGAAGGTTATAGAATGTTTAAGCTGCTTTAGCAATATATAGTGGTTTCTCAGTCTCTCAGTTACTGGGCAAGGGGTAGAGAAGGTACCTACGGATCCTGACACCCCAAAGAAGCTGCCTTCTTTCCAGTGTAAAGGTCAACAGGCAACTACCAAGCACGCACAGCTCACCAACACGTCAGGCTCAAAGTACAGAATATTTTAGAGGTAGCCTGACATTTTTAGGTATATATATATATTTTTTTTTAAAAATCTTTCAAGCAGAAGGAAAGCCCTTCATGGTTGCCCTGAATCCTACAGTCACTTACGGTGGCCTTTTGGGGGCATTCGGGTCCTTCTTCTTCTTGCCTCCCTTAGCTGGTCCGTAATCCTTCATTTCCCGATCATAGCGTACTTTATCTGCCTTTGCCATCTCATCAAACTTAGATTTCTCTTTGGCCGACATTGTCTGCAAAGAACAGGACCTGATAAATTCCTCAATGCAGTGAATACATACCTGTTCGGTTATCCTATAATTAAAGCAGCAGCTGCCATAACCACTTGCAAAAGGGGATGAAAGCCTTGAACCCTTGTAGAGTCTTTTTGTGTGTGGCAGGGGGGAGAAAAACAAAATTTACTGGGAGGAAAACAAAGCCGTGGGTTAACCCCGCTAATAGAATCTTAATAAGAGCACACACACAAAACCCTAAAAACAAGTAAAATGTATCTAAGTAAAGAGGACGAAAACAGCCACCTGGGGCTAAAGGTAAATAACACCAAAGTATCAAATCCAACTCAGCCTAGCTTGAAGGATACAAAGCAAAAATACCTTCCACCTTTCAGAGCACTTCTTAGAAAATTCTGCAAAATTGACAGGAACTTCTGGGTTTTTCTTCTTATGTTCCTCTCTGCATGTCTGCACAAAGAAGGCGTAAGCAGACATCTTGCCCTTTGGCTTCTTGGGATCACCTTTAGCCATCCTGACTGTGATGGATGAAAGAAAGAGAAACAAAGAAAAACAAATCCAATGAACAGAACTACAAGATGTAACAAAGGCAGGGTAAAATTAAAATTACTGCTGCTCTTAGGATTCCACCCTCCCGCCCCCCCCCCCCCAAAAAAAAATGCCAGATGCCACTGGCAACCACAGACAGCCTGGGAAGGAAATCAGCATCACTGTCACTTGTCATTTAACTTTTGACCAGCATGAAGTGCACAGGTTTCCGAGTTACTTCTCCAAGAGTAGATCAAGTTCTCCAAATGGAACAGACCCAAGGGTTGTGGCTCAGCTCTACATGCGGATTCAGAAACGCTATGTTTTGGAAAACTGCAACTACCGTGGGGAGGATACATTTGTAGGCGATGCAGGCTGATGATAGAGGCTTGAAACCAATGACTTAAAGCTAGCTGGTCATCTGTGTTAATCCCATGTTAGAAACGAAAATACTGTCAGTGCTGCTCAACCCAAGATGAAAGCGGAACTGTAAATAAGGAAAATTTTTATATTTCAGTATTTTGGCTGCATTGTGACTTATAAAAATGGCCTTTACAAGAACGGTTATACAAGGAGTGAGCTGATACCCCTGGCCTATTAGTTCAAATCTGTCTCTTCGTCATCATCTAAAGGGGCAGGGGATACAAAAAGAGCTAAGCCTTGCTCATCGGTAAAGCAAAATGCATGTCCAGCCAGAAATACTTGGGAGAAAGTTTCCAAATAAAAATGCAGCTGTGGCGTGTCATAGTCCCTTTCCCACCCCCCCAGCTTCCCGCCATCTTTTCCTTTTCCCACACCCAAGGTCATCATGTAAAACCAAAGCACTCCCCTTTGCGGGGACCGACTCAGGGGCTGCATTAGGCCCCATGGTGGCTGTGCCTGTGGCGCAGAACAGAACACAGGGGAGCCTGCGGCCGGCAGTGGGCAGCCACACTCGGCCAGTGCTGGGTCACCTGGACACCCATAATTCACCTTCCATTTTGTCAAAAGCTTCCTGATGAAAGAAAGTGCCCCTGAAATCCACCGTTGCCTCCCCCGAGGGAGGCGCCAGGCCGGGGACGGCGATGGCAGCCGCGCTCCGGAGGCACCGAGCCTGGCCGGCAGTGGCCGCAGTGATGGTGGCGACTGCCTCGCCTGGAGCCCGGCTTTGCTAAAATGGCTGATCCGCCAGCAGCGGGCACAGGCGTCGGTGGCGAACAAAGCGGTCCGGGCCCCGCCACCGCAGCCGCCGCCCGCTCGCCGGCCCCCACCCCGCCCCGCCCCGCCCTGAGCGCCCGGGGGCGCGGGGCTGCGGGGGCCGGACCCCCCCCCCTCGCCGGCGCGGGGCGCATTCCTCGGGATAACAAAGGCGCCCGTGCAGCCATGACGTTCGCCAGCGATGGGGCCCGCAGCAGCGCCCCCGGCCCTTCACGCCACCAGACCCTGGCCGCGGGCGCAGGGACCAAGGCCGGAGCCCGCCCGGGAGCCCCGCCGCCCGCACAGCCCGCCCGTCCACCCCTTGCCAGGGCCCATCACGCGCCAGCCATGTTAGCAGCGGCGGCGGTGGCTGCGCCGGTGCCCCACGGGCAGGCGAAGCGCGGGGGCGGCCGGCCCGCCTCCCCCCCCTCCCGGACCTCCGTGCGCTCCCGAGACGGCCATGTTAATGCAGAAGCAGCAGTGCAATCCTCGGGCCCGCACGGTACCCGGCGGAGCCCCAACAGCGAAGTTTGCTCACGCCGCAGCCCCCCGCGGGCACCAGCTGCCCGGAACCCGCGGCGATCGTTCCGGGCCGGGGAGAATCCTGCCCCCCCTTCCCGATGCCGCCCCCAGGCGCCGGGGACCCACGCCACCGGAGCCCGCAGCCGCCCTGGTGCGCGCCGCCTCCGCCGCCGCAGCTGCCCCAACATCTGGCTTCAGGGGGCCCGAGCCCCGCGGCGCGGCCCCCGGGTGGGCTCCGGGCAGGGAGCCCCGCGCAGACCGTGGGGAGCTCGGAACGAAGCCCCGGAAAGTTGAAACACCTGAATCGCTTCTTCCTTCCCGGGCACCTAGGTAGAAGGAAGGTGGAGGGGGCGGGAAGGGCGCGGGGATGAGAGGCAGGAGGCGGTGGCAGCGGGACGCGCTGGCGGCTGCAGGAGCTGGAAACTTGTGCGGGCGCTGCGGTGGCGGTGGCGGTGGCGGTGGCGGCGGCGGCGGCGGCGGTGGCGGCGCTGGTGGCGGTGGTGGCGGTGGAGGAGGAGGCGGCGGCGGGCGCGAGCGGGCGGAGGAAACGTACCTGTATTGTTCGCTAGTCTGGGCAGCGCAGGGCACGACGCGAGGCTCCGAGCTCCCCAGCCTCGCGCTAGCTGCCTCCACGAGAGCCGCCTGATTGGCCAGCGGGCTCCGCCGTTTAAAACAGCCTCCTTGCCCGGCCATTGGCTGCGGGCCTCATGCATATTAAACAGGCGCGGGCGCCCATTGGGCATGGCCTCTGGGATCATTCATTCAAACAGAACTACCCGCCGGCGCCGGCTGCAGAGGCAAAACAGAGCTTCCCCCCCCCCCCCCCCCCAGCCCCCTCCTCGACCTGAGCTGCGACTTCAAAGGACTTTGGGGAGTTGGCCCTGCTACTCTCCTCGGCCTTGGCCTCTGACGCGGGATGGCAAGGTCGGGTCCTGCTGCGCGGCCCTCTGCTCCCGCCGCGCTGCGACCTGGACGCCCCCGCCTCCCACTCCTGGCCCCCAGCTAGCCCCCAGCCCCAGAGAACCTCCGGGGCAAACGGCAAAGGTTGAGGGTCCTCAACCTCTGCCCAGTCTTGTCGCGGCTCCGCGGCCGGGGTCTTGCCTGCAGCTCTCTCGTTGATGAAAGTGGGAGGCAGCTGTTCCCCTGGCAAGACCTCGGGGTTTCAGTACTGGGATCCCGCTGTCCCCGTCCGCTCCTCCGTCCCTCCCCCATAAAAGGGGGACATGACACCGCTCCTGTGGATCCTGCTCTACCAGGCTCTTTGTACTAATTGCCAGAAAAATCTGTTTGTGCTTGCAGTTGCGGAAAGAGCGAGCTAGGTGGGCTAGAGGCGGAAAACGGAGTTTGGCAAAAGCAGAGAAATCGTGAGAAATTGTACTAGTAGTTCTGTGCTTAGGGAGTCACTTCTTCCCTGCCTCAGTTCCAGCTCACATTCCTTCTGCTCTCCCAACACACACCCCCTGGTGAAGAATTAAAGTTCTTGGAATGTACAAATGGGATTTGACTTGAATTGGCCTCCTCAGCGTTGCCCTTGGCTAGTGGTATGGCCTTGAGCAAGTCACACCTTTTAGGGGATTCAGGCAATGGTTTACAAAGTGTATGTGTGGTGGGGAGGCAGTGTCGTCTCTAAGGGATGTTTGAAAATGCCCATGACTGGGAGTTGTTGCTGGAATTTGATAAGAGGAGGGGATGGGAAGGAGTGATAAATGTCCTGCACTGGACAGAGTCATCCAGAAGAAAGAAATGTCCCACTACACATGCTACTGTCAGCCCTACTGAAAAACATTGGAGGGCCTTTTCCTCTTTGAGCTTCCTGAAAGAAAGAATGCATGAAGGAAGGGGTGGGGAAAAGGTGCACATTTTATGGGTTGAAATGTAGAAGAGGCACATCCTGAGTTCTAAGTTGCTGTTCCCAAACGCTTTGAACCACCAAGACAACCAGCTATCTATAATTCCCATAGTTAGAAATGAGATCAGATTATGAGTTTTCCAAATGCTGTTTCCAGAAACTGGCTGAGTTTGAGGTGTTTGAGGGATTTGACCCCCTAAGGCAACTGCCTCCCCATCCCCACCCAGTTCTTGCCAACTCCTCTGAGCCTCTTGGGCAAGCTGGAACCACTAGGCTTCCATCATTAGGGACCCAACGGAGACCAGAAGCCAAAGATAATGCTGCTTTGATCAGAGCCGACAGGAATGAAGTCACTTTCCTAAATACCCGATTCACAGGCCCTTGGGAATGTGGATGTCTTAAGGTCCTAATGGTACCTACCTTAATGGTTACCTACCTTCTGCTCACATATCTTCACTCACAGAGAGCTTGACACCTACTTTATGGGCTGTCTTTTCCATCTTGAGCAATCTCTGAACCTTGGAGTCACCACCCTACACACAATCCCACCCCTCACCCTTCAGAGATTTTCTGACAAAACAGGCCTTTTTTCCCCTCCAGCCAGATAGCTCCAGCTTCTTCTACTACCAGGTCCCCAAGGTCTAACCTGCCCGGGCCTCTTCCCTCTACCTTTGTCTCTGCCCTTCCCAAAGGAGAGCAGGGTCTCCACCTATGATCTGACCAACACCTTCCCTCTGCCACAGTGCCCTCGCATCCGTGTTGCTAGGCCTTCCTGAGCTAGAGACGCAAACTGAGGTCTCAGGTGGGACCCAGCCACCGCCCAGCATCCTGGCCATGCTGGGAGGCTGTACTTACCAGTTGTCAGGCACCAAAGTGGAAGAACCAGAGTTGTCAGCTTTAGAGCCCACCAGGCACTATTTGGTAGGCCCTTGAGTGGATGGTGAGGGTCCTGGCAGCATGTATGTTCACATTCACACCAGGCACACACACAACATTCCCAAAGGCAGAGAGGAGAAAGCCGACCCAGGGAATAAGGGTATCTCCCAGGCAGAAGAAACTGCATAGTAAGTGATATCCAGAAACCCCCTTCAAAGCCCATTCTTCCCCACCCACTGCCACAGCCCTACCCATGGGTACATACTTCGAAGGACGAAAGGTTTTCTCTTGTTCGAAGGGACGATTTCCATCTCTGCTCCTCCTGAGAAAGCTCCTCCTTCCTTCAAGCTGAAGCACTAGACCTGAAGCTCAAAGCTGTGGTTGCCGTCATCAGAACTTCACAGAGTGTGATTATGACATCACTGAGTGGGCGTGTCCTAGACCTGAAAATGGTGGCTGTGGTTCCCTACTCCTGCCCCCTGCAAACACATGTCACCCCAAATCTCCATGTCTTTTTCAGGCCCAATCTCTATGATTCCTCCATCCCTTTTTTAAAAATATATTTTTATTGATTTCAGAGAGGAAGGGTAGAGGGAGAGAGAGGTAGAAACATCAATAATCAGCTGCCTCCTGTACACCCCACACTGGAGATTGAGCCTGCAACCTGGGCTTGTGATCATGAATGGAATCGAACCTGAGACCCTTCAGTCTGCAGGCAAGCACTCTAACCACTGAGCAAAACCATCCCTTTCGCATGAGCCTCGGTTGGAAGGCTCCTCACAGCCTGGTTTTCTCCTCTGTGCCGTTTGTGTGTGGCAGCACAAATAAGCAAAATCTGCGGCCTAGCGGGTTCCTACCTCAAGAGAAATTCATAATTCAATTCCATGTACATATATTAAATGCCTACTAATACATAACAGAGGAGAGATTAAGTGAAGTAAGGGTGGGGCTACAAGGCAGGGGCAAGGCAGTGACTTTGGGCTCTGATTCCTGATGTACCTTCTGCCATGTCACTTCATCTCTTCCAGCTTCAAAAGTGATTTCACCCACCTTACCCACCCCAGCCCCTGTCCAGTCTGCTTGTGAGGGAGAGTATGAGTGAAGCTGGTCAGGGTATCACCAGTAAAAGGCCACCTGGGGAAGGGCTAAAGGCCAATCTGGAAGGTGAAAAAAAGTGACTGAAAGTCAGGGGTGCCTGGGCAAGTTCTGGACTCAGGGGCTCTAAGGCAGGCTGCCTCCTCTGTCTGTAGCAAAGCTCGGTGTCCAATGGTGGCTTTGGGGTAGCTTCAACTGGTAGAGACTCTGGACCTCTGCCCTAGTCCTCCCTAGAAAGTACTTTAATCACACCATTTACCTGTGAGGCCTAATCCCAGACAAGCCCATCACACAGGGGGACCTCGAACTAGAACGCTGTAAGCTGCTTGGCTACCTGAAGAGATTAGGAAAACATTGAAATTCAATAGGGCCCTACCTGGTTTGGCTCAATGGATAGAGTGTCAGTTTGTGGACTGAAGGGTCCCAGGTTTGATTCCAGTCAAGGGCACATGCCTGGGTTTGGGGCTTGACTCCCAGCAGGGGGCGTGTAAGAGGCAGCCAATCAATGATTCTTTCTCATCATTGATGTTTCTAATGTCTCTCTCTCTCTCTCTCTCTCTCTCTCTCTCTCTCTCTCTCTCTCTCTCTTCCTCTCTGAAATATATATGAAATTAAATAAGACATAGAACAAAG